TTTATTTATATATTTTCAATGTTTTAAACCTATTTTCATACATGCTATTTTTTCCTTTTTCCAATCAAGTTAAATATTTTTGGTTCATCTTCTGAATTGACCACTTTGTCAAGCAGTTTCGGCGTGACTTTCTACCAGCGATTTCACAAAACTGGACCAACTAATTTCTTTTTTTTGTGAAACGCACAAATGTTGCCTACTTTTTTCGAGGTTCTAGAAGAAAAAAATCTCAAAATAATGTTTCATTTCAAAGTTCGAGTGGTAGTAAACGTCATTTTATCTGCTTGAATGAAATGGTTAATTAGAATACCTTTTTGCCACTACTTTGTCACCAGTTATAGGCACAAAACTGTGGAATTTCCGTATTCCAGATATTGTCTTTGTGCTGTTATATAGTTCTTCGAGTTCTTCTGACATTTCGATGTACTGTTCAGTGGATATGTACTCGAAACGTAGTTTTGTGATATTTTTATCTGTTTGTTCAATTGCCCAGTTATATAACCATTTTTTTGAAAAAAATCGGCAGAAAAAAGTTTGGCCCTTCTCAAATGTTAGTCTAGATAAATTTTGGAAAAACTGAGTATGCAAAAGTGCTTATTTAGTCAAAGTCTACACATCCAGAAAATTTTATTGAAATCTGAGAGGGTGCTGCCAGCTTCGATTCGATTTGGCGCGAAATGCGTCAATATGCACGTTATGAACTCTCAAAACGTTAAATAGCTCGTCTTCATTATCTTTAAGAGATCGAGCATTCCAATTCAAACTATTTAATGCTTTAAAATCCCTCACTGAATTTCAAAGTCATGACAATATTGTTTGCAAATTTAACTCCAGTTTGAATAGCATCAAACATGAAGTTAGATTTAAGCATATCAGTAATCATCTCAATTAGGGGAATATACGTATTCTCGGCAACCTAATCAGCGACCATCTTTCTATAGACTTTTTCTCTGAGGAACGCACACATATGCAGTACTGGTGTGTTTACAATCTTTTGCTGCCAGCTGCTCTTACAATTCCAGTCGAAAGAATTTTCAAAAACTGTTTTGAAACGCTTTCACAAAGCTCCAATCTTCTCTAGTGAGAGCGACTATTGTGGGCAACATCATTTTATTCGGCAACCTTTCTATTTGAGCTGCGTGTTAAACAGCTGTGTTTTCATCGGCAACTCGAAATCAGCAGCATTTTATAGTGCGTGTGTTTCATTTCAAGAAAACCCTGCTAGATTGCTTTTTCTCAGTGGTAAAAATATAATCAATTTGAAGCTGAAAGTCTAAAGAATCGTTTTAATGCATTCAGCGAAGTGTTTTCGTAAGAAAATCCAGTGTAAGTTGCGTTTCAATTAGGGTTGCCGAAAATAGTCTGTCATGCCGAAGCCGTCGTCATTTCCCCTAATGATTTCTGTAAAAATTCCATTTTAGGAGCAGTAATGCTTCTTAAGTTAAAATTTTCAAAATTTCTGTTAGAATTACGTTGGTAAGTATTTTGATTTCTACCCGCTGCAATAGCAGCATAGGTAGCTCCATTAATACGCTGAACATCGTTAGCAGCGAGGGTAGTAAGTATAGATGAAAAATTTGAAGCAGGGGTGATATTTGTACCTACGGGTACGAATGTAGAATTTGTTCCTCGTTGACCATTGTTAACAGCAGAGGAATTTAAACCTGTTCGGGAACGCCTTTCATGACAACCTTGAACACACGTTCAGTTTTGGTGTCGTAAGTAAACAATTGTGCTGCTTCTCAGTAAGATACTTGAGAAGACGTTTGAATACGTCCAAGGTTGCAGCCAATACACGGCATTCACCCCGACGTCCAATTTGTAGTGAAAACTTAACTATCACGAAGTTCAAAAGTTCCATGCGAAGAGCATGGAAATCGGAAGTGGTTATCACAATAGGGGGAATCTTTTCCTACTTGGCATTAAGCCGGGAAAGTTTACTAGAATTTTTCTTTGATGATGGATCATTCTTATCATCCGTGAGAATTGATTGCTCAAATTAATTTCATCAGAAGGGGGATCAAGAGTTTGCCCTTTTTCTTTTGCGCTTAGACACCATGGCGGCAGTAAATTTTTATCCAAATCGACTTCCAAGCAGATTACTATAAGAATCCGAAGGATCGAAAAGGAATTTTCCAAATCGATATCCAAGAAGGATTACCTGGGGTTTGGTCCAAACAAGGATCGAAGAGGAATAAGAGTTGAAAAAGATAGAAATTTTACAGATTGAGCACTGAAAAGTGCTGTTTAAATTTGTTGTAGTTTTAGGTAGTATTAGCACTTCCTTCAGCAAAAAGCAAATAGATCCGCACGGCAAGAGAGCACGATGCGGACTGTGATTGAGTGCGTGGAAATCTGAAATCTAGAATCAGCTTGCCACACAATATACACATTCATGCATTGGAATTGGCATCGAGAGCTCTCAATTAATAACTGTGGAAGTGCATTTAGAACACTAAGTTGAGAGCACGTGAATAATAATAAGAAGAAGAACCACCAGTAATTTAACTGAGATTAATTGAGCTAACAAACTGAATTTCTATTAACCGCTGCTTGTAGCCCTTACATACTAGCTATACTTGTGTAACAAACCCATGCAAAATCGATTGTTGATCGTTTCATCAACGGAAGATGTTCACTGGTGACCGCTTAAAAGGATACCAGCAGAGAAACTCAAATACGCATTATGGCAGGAAATCGTGCCTACTTTGGCTCCGGAGGACGCTCCGGTTGAATAAAATTCTCCACCGCACGAAGTTGACTATCTACATGACGCTGATTAGACCGGTGGTCCTCTACGGCCACGAGACCTGGACTATGCTCGTGGAGGATCAACGCGGTGGTGTTGTCGAACGGTGGAGAAACGAGTAAATTGGTTCTCTGTGTAACAACTGCTGATCTGGCAATAGCAATTGCATCCTCGGGCAGTCAATCATGCCCATGCTCATTTCAGTCTTCAGACATTTTTATAATCTTCATGGCACTCCAAGCGTTCCGCCTATTTGTTGAAACTTTAAACAAACACAATTGAGCAGCCATTCAGTGATAACCGCTGACAAATGGTGTGGTGATTGTATTTAATTAATTTGTCCGAAGAAACGTGTGTCCCTTTGCCCGCATCTTCTTTTCCCCATTTTCGTATCTTTCAATAAATTTTCCGGGAACGATGTCGACCACGACGACGACGACGACATGTCTTTTCAGAGCCCCAGGTCAACCCAGTCCTGAATCGTGTATGAATGAATGACTTTTTGCGGTTCAGTTAATTTGTTATGTAGATTACCTTATTTTGGATTTTGCGGTTCCCAGGCGTCAGGGATGCAGCCGACCACAAAGTGGCTGGCAGCCTGTTTACTGATCCTGGAAAGTTAGCACCTTTTTGAGCCCGAGAACAAGCAAGGGGAAGGCTGTTTTTGGTCATTTCAAACTTTTACCCTTCTCGCAATGAATGCTTGGCTTGCGTCCAGTAGAAACAGGACCACGTGCAGGACGTGCTGTGGACGATGTGGATGGATATGTGTATTAGAAGGCAATAAAAATTCCATGATGCGATATTTATGGCATCTCCTGGGATTTCGTTTCTATTTCCCGCGAGGCAAGGTGGGGAAAGGGTGAGGGGGAAAACGAGAAATGATAGCAATCTTTCATCCTAATTGACTCGCATTAAAAAGTGCTTATGTTGCGTCCGCTCGTTGGAGGTAGGTCAGGCGATTCGTGACAAATTGGGTGGATCGTAAATTTATGTTTTTTTTTTGCTCTCGTCGGCGAAGGTGGTGGCTTATAGAAATATCAAATTGCCGAACACTTTTCACCTTGGGCTTCGTAGAAGAGAGGACTTAGGCAAGGATGTTATTTCAATGAAAGGGAATGATTGGAGGGCTGGGTTCAAAGAAAGTTTTTAGCCTAAGGAAAAATTGCTCGATATTTTAAAGGATGCAATTCAACTTTTTTATGCTGTTGCTAAACTGTCCAAATCAGCATCCAGCAAATGAAAATTTTAACTTTCAAAATTCTAGTAAGTTCGACTTTTTTTAATTGACCCTATTTAAACGATTATTCATTAAGACACTGTCTCAATCAAAACGTTATCAAAAATTGCACAACAAACTCCCTACCCGCTCACCACGAGGACAAAAAAAAACCTGAAACCAACGGCAAAGGTTGTCAAACGAACCGTGAAAATTCAATTGTAAGTCAATTTTTACGACACCCTTTTCCGCGCCACCAACAGCCAACGGCGGCTTAAGATTACAGTCTTTAACTGTTCCTCCTGCCCTGCTGCAAGGGAATGCAAATTTCCGACATTAAACATAAATCCAAAAGCCGGATTGTAATAAAAATGACGTCTATTTTCGTTCGCTTACATCACATGTTCGGAACTGGGTTCTTTAAATTTGACGTAATCGAGCACCGCTAGGGATGTCACTTACTGAATGTTTTCCCCAAGAAGCAGATTCCCCTTGTTAAAACCTGCCAATCCCTCGAGCTCCGGGAACAATCGAACAGGTAAATCCATTTCTCACTCCACCCACCGAAATCGGTCGGCTTCATTCGTAGGCAGACACTTGACTCGAACGTCTGTCTTGTCTCCTGTCTTGCTCAGCGTTGTCTCGCCACCCTTGAGCGATGGGATGGCAAAAAAAACATTGATTGACAACGAACGATTTTACAGCTGACTGAGGCCTTTCAATCCCTGGTATGCAATTGGATTGGGACCGCCAAGCTGGTCGTTGGGACCGGGTTGTTACAATGTAAGCCGACCGGAAGGACCCGAGTGCTCTTCTTGATTGCAAAGGAATTCAAACACCCTTCCACGTTGGTCCGCCCCATTTGCAACTGATGGAGTTCGATTGTGAGAGGGTGATTGATTTTCCGAGTTGGGTTGCCGTCACCTATCCGTATCGGGTTTGAAATGTTTTTGACCTGGATTTTTTTATTTCTTGTATTTAAAGTGCCATCATGTTGAATATTGAATGAGTTTTCTTCTTTATTTGTTGCAGGTCCCCCAGCGGAAGAAGGATCCAACGTGGTGGCCACATCGTCCGGCGTCTCGGTAAGCGGCAATGAACTCAGCAAGGTGGTCACCACATCCACGGTTACCGCCCCCGGTGGAGCCATCATCACCGGGTTGGACAGCAAGAGCGTCACCATTTCGGAAGCGGCTTCCCGGCAGCTGCAGTCCCAGATTCAGCTGCAACAGGCCCAGGCGCAAAACCAACAACAACATCCGCAACATAGCAATATAATCTTAGTCCGTGGTTCCCGATCGGAGAATGGGCAAATTATCCTCCAGAATACTCACGAATTACTGAGTCTGCTGAGCGATGAGGACAAACCCATCTTGCTGCAGCACCAAAGGTTGAAGACCAAAACCGTCCCGGAGGTCAATTCAACGGCCACCGCTGGCAATACGATCCTATTCCAGCCAACGATCAAAAGCAGTGCCGTCGATGGAACTTTTCTGCTGCAATCCGACGGTGGCCTCAAGAAAACCACTCTCTCTTCGGAAGGTGGCCAAATCTTCCTTCAGCAGCGCCTGAACAAAAACGGTTCCTCCGATGGACCAATCCTACTTCGCACGCTTAAACGCATAGATAAGTCTCAATCAATTCTCGTTATTCGTAATGCTACAACCACTGCTTCGGCTGCTTCCGTCGTCGCCGGCAATGCTTCTTCCATTAGTGCTTCTAGTTCGGCTTCTGCGGCCAGTGCCACTACCATAGTTAAGGCGAAACCGATCCAGGTACAACCGCAGCAGCAGCAGCAGCAGCATGTTCAACCGGCGACGGCAACTTCGACGACGGCTACAATCGTTACCGTTAGTTCCGGTGGAGCGGCTAATAGAGCTGCTTTGGAGGACGCGGACATCAAGAAGGAACCGAACTCCTCGGTTAAAGTCGTCCAAAGGCCGATCAATTTGCCACTTGGTACAGGTGAGTTTCTTTTCCGTTTGCCGTTTTTGTTTTGGTGTTCGATTTACGAAGGTACCGATGTGATGGGAAGCAATATATCACTTTTGCAATTTGCTCCGCCACGTGGCAGGGTACAGCAAGGAGAGGACGAATCTGATGACAAGGTGCATAGAAGAGGAATAATTGATGTTCGATTTTTTTGGGCGGTGATTGTTCTAAAGAAAATAGATTGTGTTTGTTGTTTGATGGCGGTGCATCAAAGAGTTAATTTTGTTGTCAATAATTTTAAAACAGTGATCTGAAATAAGCAATCTTCAGCGCCGAGTGATGTTATGATTTTATCAACGCATTAAACATTTTTAAATGTATGGCACTAGGAGATACATTCGACTATATGACTAGGGAATTATTTTTAGTACTAGGAACTATTTGAAATTTGAAATCTTCGCTCCACTGTGCTTAAACGGATCCTGATTTGGTCCGGATTAAGGTTGCAAAACTTTCCAAAGGTGTTTGAATCTATTTGAAGGTCTCCAATCAGAAGTATGCCTCACTGTACATCCTCTCAAGCGTCCTTCTAAACTCTCAGCTGCTCCCTGAATTTATCATTTATTCTTGAGTAGCAGAGGAACTTTAAAAATAGTTAAACAAAATGGGAATCCCTTTAGAGACGAACCCGAGCACTGTAGACTAGTTCAGAGGAACCTTCATAGAAGTTCAGCGAACTTCAGAAAAGCACCGTAAACTTCAAGGGTAGTCTATGCAACCTTTGAAAGACTGAGTGAACATCTGAAAATTCCAATAACCTGAGAGATGTTTACCAGAATTCCAAACATTTCCAAGGGAATGAAAAAGATGCCCAGGAGATTTAAAAATAAATTCTGAGTACTCCCAAGAACTTCTTGAAACTTCATGGAACTTCGTAAAAAATGACTGGACTTCAGAGAAGCTGAAACACTTCAGAGTAGTTTAGGGAACCTCAAAGATGTTTAGTAGAAGAAAAATCATTTCCCAAAAACAATCAGGACAAATGCAGGATGTATCAGAGAGTATCCCAAACATCAGTGGAGTTCGGAGTAAAAGTACTTGGAAAGTAAGATTGATTAGAACTAGTGCACTTGTACCGAGAACCATATGAATGGAATTAGCTTTCCATCTTCAACGTACAAGCATACTAATTCAATCTATTTATATATCACTAACACCGCCGGCCACGTCCTCATGGTCTTTTGGGAAAGAATGATGATTAATTCGACGTCCGTTCGGCACTGTACTCAGCAGGAAAAATTGATCTACTGTTCCTTGAACATCTACAAAGTTCCCTAATTTTTACTTCTTCAAAATTTTCTCAGCTCCTACGAAGTTACATCAACTTCTACGAAGTTTCATCAACTTCTACGAAGTTTCATCAACTTCTACGAAGTTTCATCAACTTCTACGAAGTTTCATCAACTTCTTCCAAGTTAACTGAGCTTCTACAGTTTTGGCTGAACTACTACAAAGTACTCTTAAAAAAATTCCCAGCACTTCTATGATGCATTACGAAGTTCATAGAATTGCTACATAATTTGCATGACCCATACAAAGTTATCAGAATTCGTATGAAGTTTGCTGCCTTCCTACAAAGCTTCCTGAAGGAATTTCGTTGATTTTCTGCGAAGTTCCCTGAAGCAATTTTCTGAATTTCTACGGATTTTCTTGATCTGATTGATTTGATTACCTTTATTTAAGAGATTTTCAGTCGTGTGCTGGGTCATCTTCGGATTTTTAGCGGTACCGGTGGGAAGGGGTCGGGCCTCGGATTGAGCTTCCGACTTTCTTCTCAGTAAGCGGAAACAGTAACCACTGAACTAACAAACTTCGTCTTTGTAGAATTTTATGTAAAGTCTAAATCGTCATAGAAATTTAGAAGAACTGCAGAGAAATCCAATGAAATTGAGTAAACTAAAAAACTTAAGGGTAGCTTAGCGAACTTCATACAGAGCTTAGAGAAATTAAGAAAAGGTTCGCACACTTCAGAGAAGTGCAAGACATAGGCTCAAGTCATTTTATCCTCAGAGAGGCTCTGAGAAACATAAAGGAGCTCAGCAGACTTCCGTGAAATTCAGTGATTGAACTAGCCTAGGGCACCACAACAATACTTAGGAAGACTCAGAGAAGCTAAGGAGGTATTTGTAGAAGCCCAAAAAAAAAGTTCAGAGTTAAATGTAGTTTATTGTGTTTAAAATAACATTCATGATACTTCGTGGAAGTTCAGTGAACTTCGGAAAAGCTCCCAGAGAATTTCTGGAAAAACCTCAAAAGTATTAGGGTCAGTATTTGAAAAGTTCGCGAAAACTGACTATGACTCGTGGATTTTTCCAATGCTGCTTACATTTAGGAGAACTTTGAAAAAGTCCAGCAAAACCTAAGCGGTGTCCATAGCGGTGACTATAATCCATTAAGTACTTCATGAGAAATTCTGGAAAAACCAGCCCCCTCTCCCCTTTCGTCACAGTTTTCTTATTTATTTCTTTCATTGTTTGTCAGAGATTTATAAACCACAACTCCATCCCCGTTGAGCGTGACATTCTTAATAGATCACCCTTAAGGAACGTTCCCGGGGCACCTTTAGAGATGTTAAGCAAACATCACAAAAGTTCACTGTTCTTCAGAGAAGTTTAGTGAACAAGTAAATCCTAGAAAACGATAGGCTAACTCAGAAAAATTTAAGAGAAATTCAAAGGAATCTGAAGAAGCTTTAGAAATGACTAGAAGAGCTATGCTAGCCAGGGAACTTCAGAAAACAGCACGATACTTAGGAGAAGCTTAACAAACTTCAGGTAAGCTCAGGGAATTTTGGAGTAGCATGACCATGATTGACCACCCACGGTTGCTACTCTGTCATTGCCAGATTAGCTGTAATTACACAGAGAACCAATAGACGATGCTTGGGACTAAAATTCATCCTCCATGTGTAAAAACTGGCGATCTCAAACTAGGGAAACTCGCCAGCTGCACCCTAACGCAGATCAAGAAAGAAATCGGTAAGAATGTGTTGACGTGGCACTGGCTTTGATGGAAGCCAAGAAGTCCTCTGCACTTCCACGAGGAATCACTGGGATATTGGATAAGATGGTTGGGTTGGCAGCAGGGTTCGTTTTGGTAAACGATTAACTGAATTGATGTCCTAACGATCATATATCGCGAAAGAGCTTTGGATTGAACTCACGGTCTTCTGCTCAGTAAGCAAAAATGTTTGCCACTAGGCAAACGAGCTCCTTTTAAATCATCAAGTTGCTGTTATTACCATCTTGTAATATTAACAGATAAAACGATTGACGCATCTTGAATGTGGATGGGTCTGAGATTAAACTCATGATGTTCTGCTCAGTAAGCAAAAACGCTCGCTCTAAGGCCACCGAGCCCTTCATATCACATCATACCGTTACTCGAGTTGTTGTAACCATTCAAACCCGGCACCGACGACGATGGATGACAAGTTTCGGAAAATACACGATATCGAGTTGATCATAAATTTCTTTAATATGAAAGGACCTGGAACCACGTTTTCCTGCTCAGTAAGCAAGCCACAGCAACCGAAGATCTTTCACATCTGAAAACTAGCGCTTAGGCCTTCCTTAATTTCCACATGCATGCGACGTTAAATGTTTCGATTTGCTCTTGACGCATTGTTCAGGCTATCATAGCAAGCTCTGACCGACGGTACGATTGTTTAAGCCCTGTTTAACCAAGATTCTCAAATTAAATTGCGCTCTTGAAACCAGCCAATAATGTATCCCAAACTGGATCAAGCGTGCGCTCTATTTTTTTTCTAAACAATCCAAAGCGTTCCGCCCAAGATCATCAGTTACGACTTTCTACACTAGTAGCCTGGGATAAATTGTAATGTCTTTCCCCCCACATGACGCAACCATGTTCTTGCATTTGGGTGCACACCTTAACGACAGTATCGCTTTTCTTGTGTTCTAACTAAAACCGCAAAATACACTACCGATCATAAGTTTAAGGACACCCCCAAAAAAACCATTCAATGATCTCTCATTTTACGTTCAATTTTCGATCTCCAAAGGTTATTTGAATGGTATGAATGGCATACCATAAGTGTTCTACTACTACTTTTATTTCAAAATTTGGCCAATCCAATTCTGAGAAAATCAGTCACGATTCTTCAGAGTAAATTTTGAAAAATATTGTAACTTTGGGAGAACTTTTAGCACACAAAATTTGAAAAATATATTGAACAATTTGCGTACGAGGAAAGTTACATTCAATACCTTTCAAATGATCTAAAGAGAACGAAAATTGGACGTAACATGACAGAGATATGAACATAACTAATTGTCATGTTTTTTTGGGGGTGTAATTTGTAATTTGTAATTTATTGATAGGATAACGAAAACCTGTCAGTTACAGAACCATAAATCAGGTCAAGAAAGCAACCATTTTGAATCAGGTTAGTGGTGAGTTAAGAATGAAATTAAAGTCTAAGTCTAAACATTTGACATTTCTTAAATCGACAGCTACTATTGGTATTAGCCTAGAGAATTAATCAGCTCTGTGGAGCGCCGCTTTAAGTGACATGAGAGTCCGTTGTTGCCTTGTAGCTAGTGGTAGTGCGTTCCAGGTGAACGCTCCGAATATTAGAACACTTTTTCGGGAACTTGTGGTGTGATGCGGTAGGACAAAGGATCTAGCTCGCTCGTTCCGACCTTTAGGTGTGTACTGCGTGATGTACTCTGGGAGGCTTCCATGGTAGGCCCCGTACATGAAGCAACAGATACGACGGTGGTAGTTTTCCAGCAGATCGCATCCGAGTATGGTGTGTCGCACTTCTCTGGTCGTGTCACGCCCTCGGATTCCATACACGAACCTCACCGACTACTTGAAGCATCGATGCAACTGAGCCTTGAGCGCGGTGGACCGTCCTGGGTAGTACACGACGTCACAGTATGCAAAGAACGGCATCACCACAGCTTGGACGAGCTTCATACGAAACTGTCTGGAAAGCACTCCACGGA